TAACTATGGGGAGGAAGTGGGAGGGGAGCTGTTGCATTGTGGTAAACTGTGGTCAATAACATGAGACAAAGTATATGTGAACTGCTGTATGAAAAGTGAATTTACTCTGAAAAATCTTCACCCAAATCACAATTAAAAAAAAAAAAAAAATGCAAACAAAGATTTACCGCCTAGAAAACCCACTGCGGGTCGCTATGAGCCGGAATCCACTCGATGGCAGTGGGTTTGGTTTTGGTTTTTTTGTAATTTTTCACTTACTGTGTTAAACAGTCTAGCAGGTATTTCTTGCTACAACTACATTAAGCGCGTTCCTACTTCTTTTCACAAACAGCACAATGTAACATATTCAAGAATGCACAACTAATAAAGGGCAGAATCAAGATTTGAACCCAAACAGCCTTACTTCAGAAAAAGCCACGCACCAAACTACTACTCATACCCTCTCCTTGTTGTTGTTGTTAGTTACTGTTAATTCCAATTCATGACCACCCCACGTCTATCAGAGTAGACCTGTGCTCCATAGAATTTTCAAGGCTATGATCTTTTGGAAGTTGATCATCAACCCCGTGTTCCCAGGTGCCTCTGGGTGGGTTCTAACAGCCAGCTTTTGGACTAGTAGTCAAGCGCTTAACCATTTGCGCCACCAAGAACTCCACTATCTCTTTACTGCCTCGTAATAGGGAAAGCTTCCAGGAAATACACTGTGATGGAGTGCAATGACTCGGAGGCAGTACCTTAAAAAAGTAAATTTATTCTCCCCTTTGCCTAGTCATTGCTCTGGTGAAAGTACCAATAAAAGGAAGAAAAGCAAACAGGAATAATACAGTTGGCTAGGATTACAGGTGACTTTAAGCAAAATCACCTACTTGGCGTCATACCGTGAGAAAGTGACACCAACATGACCCCAGGGTACATGGCGCCCTAAATCCCCTCATCAGGTGCCACTGGGCAGAGGGCAGGGTCTCGGCCTTGGCCAATGAGAGAGGGGAAGAGCTGAGAGAGCCCCGGGGGAAAGTGCGGATCGCTCCGCCCATGCGGGGGTTTTCCACTGCCAGTCCAAGGCAAGGGGGCTTGACACCAATTCTCGTGACTCCACTGCCTTCAGAAGGCTGTTTATCTTTTCTCTTCATCAAAAGTAGTTTGATCTTGGATCTGAACAATAAAGTTCTTATGAGCACTGATGTGTCTAACAGCGGTTAGCAATTAGAGTAAATTACAAGACTGCTCTACTCATGATATTCAGGCACCATCCACAGCAGCTGGGGCGAGCCTTGGGGAAATGTACTGAGAAGAGTTAGGCCACATAAGTTTGAAGAGTGTGCTGCAAGTTCATGTCTCAGTTCTTGAAAGCTGTGAGTCCAGCTAGCCATGTTAGTTCACAGAGTTCCACCACAGTCTCTTGATGAGGGCTAAGGCTCTCAGCATTCCCCTAAACTTTAGAATGGGCTTCCGTGCCCACCTGAGGGTAGGTAATGGATTATATCCCTTCTACCCCCAGCCACGTTCAACTGGAAGACCCTGGGCGGGCGCACACCGAAGATAACAGGCCCGGCTCACCCTCCAGGTCCCGGGGCCCCCTCAGGATCCCGGGCCACCGCCCCTCCACCCCGACGCAGCGGGCGCCCGAGGGGCGGGGCTGCCGCCGACCCCCGTTGCTATTCTGTTCTGATCTGGGGGAGGCAGAAACGTGAAGAGGGTCGCCCCAGGCCGTGGGCTGGAGCCTTCGGCGAGCCCGGCTCTCTCCCTGCTGCGCCCAGCCGGCTGAGAAGACCCAGGTGAGGCCCGGCGTCCAAGGCCTGAATCGGGCCTGCGCTCCGCCGGGCCTCTCAGGCCGCCATGAGGCAAGGGAGAGCAGGCGATGGAAACCACGCTGCTCGCGGCTCCTTACCGCTTCACTACGCCGGTTTTGATCTTGATCTGCCTCACGCGAGGATCCGCCATGGTCCGTCGAACGCCGCAGGAAGGAGGGGCGGAGAGCAAGGGTAACCGTGGAGAGAGACGGCGCAGAGGAGGTGGTTGTGTCCGGGAAGCCGCGGCGACCCCGCGCGCATGCGCAGGCCCCGGCGCGGCCCTGGCTCCCCTGCCACACCTCAGGTCTGACTGCCGGCGGTGGTGAGCGACTCGCCACTCTGGGCGCAGACTATACCTTGACTCCACGTGGTTTTCTCCTCCACTGGTTCGGACAGCCCTTCTTTTAGCTCCTACACAAGTTAAACTTTTCTCAGTCTCCATAGCTTGTGTGTTTTGGGGAAACTTTAGTAATTCCTCGAGAAGATGAAGTGCTTGTGTCTTTGCTTTGAGGGATTATCCCTTTATTAAACGGGCTGATTTTGTAATTGGATTAAGGAAATTTTCGGTGTCATTACCTGGTCGTCAGTGGGGGCAAAGTTATGGATGAGTAATGAAATAAACAATAATCATACACTAAGTCAAGAAAATTATTGTTCGTTACCCTAGATCCCTGCCAAATAAATAAATAATGTGCTTTACAAAGGAAATGACTGTAGGACTTCTTAAAATATACGTGTCGCACACATGTTTTTTAAAGTGAAATATTTAAAATTCATCACCTCTAATGTATCTTAAATATTCAACTTAAAAAAATGGGGTGCGGCATACAAAAGCTTGGGCTTTAGAGTCGGACAAACTGGCTTGGGGGGGGGGGCGGTGTCTTCTACTCCACTAGATAGAGAGCTGAGCTCATATGCTGCTTAACCTGCTGCTGAGCCTGTTTCCTCATCAGTAAAATGGAAATAATTCCCATTTTAAAGAGTAGATAGGAGGATTAAAGCTGAACTACATGCAGACACATATCTATGGAAAATAGCACCTATGGCAAGCACTGAAACTGTGCCCTGTCCGAACATCTGACTCTCATCTTGTACGTAACTTTACCATAATATCAGCTCAAAAATATAAATCAGTTTTACTAATCTATTACTTAGCACATTAAGGCACTACATGAAAAGTACAACTGCACCTTCTTTGCATTCACTGATGAAAATTGGTCTATGATGTGCTCAAAGTCATTTTTTTCCTTCAGTTTCTTCTCTTTCTACGCTCAGCAGAGCAAGATCACACAGTCTGCCTTGACCCACCCACTGCCATCCAGTCAATTCCTACTCACAGAGACTTTATGGACAGAGTAGGATTGTTCCATAGGGTTTCCAAGGCTGTAAAAATCAGCTGGTGGTTTCAAACCCTGACCTTTTGGTTAGCAGCTAAATGTTTTAACTGCTATACCAACAGAGTTCCTGTTTGGACCTATGGAGACTCTCAAATACAAAACTATTACTTTTAACTTGCTGAATGATCTCTCACAGCTAAGATGGCAACTATTGTAGATAGAAATTGCCCAGTGGCACCTCTCTTCAAGTGGTACCCAGGGGCAGGCACCATATCTGCCATGTCTTAGGTGTGCCTCTGAACATAGTAGATACTCAACTAATTTTCACTATTGTTTTATATTTTTTAAAATGTGTCTGTTGCGTAAAATGAGACACATTTACTATAGGCTTTAGGAGCCTCTTCCTGACATAGTCCCATAAAGAAAATAGAGCAATGCCTTCTTTCTTTTATTACTATTTTTTTCAAAGACATGTATCAGACTGTCTTTACCCTTCCCTACACTTGCATTGGTGAGCTGAAATGGACTGGTATGGGCCATTTTGAATCAGACAATCATATGGTCTACTGTGCTGGGAATGACTAAGAGGAATGGCATGCTGTCCATCTTCAAAAAGAATATTTCAAGATCTATCCTGAAATACAATGCTGTCTGTGATAGGACAGTATCCATACCCCTACAAAGAAGACCAGTTAATGCTACTATTATTCAAATTTACACACCAACCACTAAAGCCAAAGACAAGGAATTGAAGAATTTTACCAACTTCTGTCATCTGAAAATGACCAAATGTGCAATCAAGATGTATTGCTAACTACTGGTGATTGGAATGTGAAAGTTGGAAACAAAGAAGACTTACCAATAATTGGAAAATATGTGATAGAAATGATGCCAGAGATAGCATGGTAGAATTTTGCAAGACTAGCAACTAATTCATTGCAAATACCTTTTTTCAACAATGTAAATGGTGACTATACACGTGGACCATGCCAGACAGACTATACAGAAATCAGATTGACTATATCTGTGAAAAGATGCAATGGAGAAATTCAATGTCTTCAGTTAAAACAAGGACAGGAGCTGACTGTAGAACAGACTATCAGTTGCTCATATGCAGGTTCAAGTTAACGCTGAAGAGAATTGAAGCAAATCCTTATCTGCCATACCTTGACTGTATCCCACCTGAATTTATAGACCATCTAAAGAATAGATATGACACATTGAACACCAATGACCAAAGACCAGATGAGTTGTGGGATGACATCAAGGACATCATACGTGAAGAAAGCAAAAGGTCATTAAAAAGACAGGAAAGGAAGAAAAGACCAAAATGGATGTCAGAAGAGATTCCAAACACTTACTGTTGAACAGAGAATAGCTAAAGGCAATGAAAGAAATGATGAAATAAAACAGCTGAACAGAAGATTTCCAAGGGCAGCTTGAAAAGACAAAGTAAAGTATTATAATGAAATGTGCAAAAATCTAGATTTAGAAAACCAAAAGAGAAGACTTTTTGTTTACTTGGCATTTCTCCAGCTAAAAGAAAAGGAAATTCAAGTCTTGAGTTGCAATATTGAGAGATTCTATGGGCAAAAAGTGCTGGAGAGCAAAGATGTCTCCTTGTAGACTAAGGTGTGCCTGACACAAGCTATGGTATTTTCCAGTCAGCTGGCCAGGTAGCTGTCTTCCAAAACTCTTGACATAACCGATTGAGTAACTCCAGTGGGGCATCCATTTCTTGAAACATCTCAATAGGTATTCCGTGAATTCCTGGAGCCTTGTTCTTCGCCAATTCTTTCAGAGCAGTTTCGACTTCTTCCTTCAATACCATTGGTTCTTGAACATATGCCACCTCCTGAAATGGCTGAAGATTGGCCAGTTCTTTTTAGTACAGTGACTCTGTGTATTCCTTCCATCTTCTTTTGATATTTTATGCATCATTCAATATATTGCCCATAGAATCTTTCAATATTCCAACTCGAGACTTAAATTTTTCCTCAAATAATGTATAACATTTTGAAGAATGGGAATTCCAGAATGCTTAATTGTGCTCATGAGTAACCTGTACATTGATCAAGAGGCTGTCATTCAAACAGAACAGGGGATACTGCATGGTTTAAAATCAGGAAAAGTGTGTCAAGGTTTTCTTCTTACACAGTACTTATTCAATCTGTAGGCTGAACAAATACTCTGAGAAGCTGGACTGTATAAAGAAGAACGTGGCATCAGGATTGAAGGAAGACTCATTAACAGCCTTGCTTGCTGTAAATGACACAACACTTGAAGTGGTTATTGATAAAGATCAAAGAGTACAGCCTTCAGCATGGATTACACCTCAATATAAAGAAAACAAAAATCCTCCCAACTGAACCAATAAGCAACATCAGGATAAATGGAGAAAAGATTAAAGCTGTGAGGGATTTCATTTTACTTGGATCCACAATTAATGCTTGTGGAAGCAGCAGTCAGAAAATCAAAGGATGAATTGCACTGGGCAAATCTGCTGCAAAAGACCTCTTTAAAGTGTTAAGGAGCAAAGATGTTACTTTGAAGACTAAGGTGCTCCTGCTCCTGCCCTCCAAAACCAAAACAAAACTCACTGCCATCGAGTCGGATCTGACTCATAGCAACCCCTCCTTGTGTTTCCAAGGCAGTATCACTATGGAAGTAGATTGCCCAACCTTCCTTCCAAGGAGTGGCTGGTGGGTTTGAAGCACCAGCCTTCTGGTTAGCAGTCACATGCCTTAGTCTCCTGCCCTAAGCTGTGGTGTTTTTAATAGCCTTATATGCATGTGAAAGCTGGACAATAAATAAGGAAGATCAAAGAAAAACTTATGCATTTGAATTGTAGTGTAGGCAAAGAACACTGAAAATACCATGGGCTGCCAGAAGAACTAATAAATCTGTCTTGGAAGAAGTACAGCCAGAATGCTCCTCAGAACTGAGAAGGGCCAGACTTCATTGCATGCACTTTGGTCATTTTGTCAGAAGGGACAAGTCCCTGGAGAAAGATATCATGCTAGATAACATAGAAGGTCAGCAAAAAAGGGGAAGAGCTTCAATGAGATGTATTGACACAGTGGCTGCAACAATGAATTTAACAATAGAAGCCCTAGATAACTAAGATAAAGTCCTTCATGAAGGTTGTGTCCACCGTCCCAGTTGGATTATAAGCATATTTAGAGGCAAGAATCTTGTCTTTCATAAACTTTCCTTTCTTAACCTCCACCTGTCTTCTATATATTCAAACCAAACTCATAGCAAAGATTGTGAGGTTGTTGCAGGACCAGGCAGTGTTTCATTCTACTGTACATAGAATCTTTATGAGTTGGAGCCAACTTGACAGCACCTAACAACAACAACAACACACTAGACTCAAATGTAGCAACACTTGTGAAGATGGTGCAGGTCCAGGCTACATTATGTTCTATTATACATGAAGTCACTATCCTAACAATATCACTTGACTTACTTATTCTTGCTTTCTTGGCTGCTTCTAGAATACTCTCTTTAGTTTAAATTCAGAATGGATGAAAACTCACCTCCTGGAGAAAGTCTACTATGACTAACCACTGCCTGTTTAAGGTACCTTAGGTGCTTTGGAGGGAGCTCTGGTAGCATAGTGGCTAAGACACTTGCCTGCTAACCAGACGGCTGGCGGTTCAAATCCACCAGCCACTCCTCGGAAGGAAGGTTGGGCAATCCTACTTCCGTAGTGATACTGCCTCGGAAACCCAAGAAGGGGTCGCTATGAGTCGGGGCCGACTCGACGGCACATAACAACAACAACAACAACAACAGGTGCTTTGGAATAATCTAATATTAATTTTCATCTTTGCTAAGTCTCTTTTAAAAATCATTGCTTATGTCTATTGTG